ATTTAAAAAAAGAAATTGGCGTAAAATTTTGGATTTTGTTATTTTCTAGTGGCAATCCATAAGGGGTGTTACACAACTCGCTAAGCGAATTAAACTACCAGTGGTACCAAACTCCAACCTCTCGCTTAGCGCCCCAACTCACTATGCGAGAGTTCAAACAGTGGTCCAAACCCCCCAAACACTCGCTAAGCGCACCCGTTCGCTATTCGAATAAAACTCTTAGTGCTCCCATACCTCAACCAATCGCTCAATGCACCTTCTCGTTGTGCGAATCATCAAACAGTGAGTCAGCCTCCACAACCACACGTTGAGCGACTTCACTCGCTCAACGAGTCCGCATACTCAAGATGTTCTCTACCTTTAACAGCCACATCTATACAGTTTAAATTCATCAACATCAATTCCAACATCACAAACATACATACAATAGATTTCACTCATTAACAACATCCATTAACATACAAAGTATACATTTTATCCAATTACTCAAATGATTATTAACACAAAACCACATTTTCTAACTCAAGAATTTTAATCATCATAAACCATTTCACACCATATATTTCTGGTAAAAGTAGTTCACTAGCTTCCCTTACCTTTAGCAAACTTGCACTTCTCAAGCAAACACCTCGACCGTGACGTGTACTGCAAGGAACTTCTAAAAACACCTATAAATCACCAAATGATGATAGAAGATGAACCTTAGAACTTAAATTGAGTCAAGAATAGAAGAAGAGGGACTCTCGATCCATGGAAACAGAATTTCTTCACAGGATCAAGAACCCTAAACTCTAAAGAAAGGAGTTAACCGCTTACCTGCTCGATTCGATCAATTGATCGGTCAAATTAGTAGCCCTTGACGCCGTGATTGTCTAGGTACCTTCTGATCGTCAAACAGAGGATCCAATCATAAGAAAACTTAGAGAGATGTGAGAGAAAGAAAAGAGAACAGTGTTTTAGAGAGATAGAAGATATTTAGATAATGAGACGAGCTTTAGAAATTTCTATTTATATTATACGATTATTTTAAAATAAAATATTCGATCTCATTATTTTAATACACATATCTACTATAATACTCTATTTTCTAGATTCTTACAATAAACAGATAAAATAAGAATTAAAAAAATAGTATAGAACAAATGCCTTAATATTTTAAATATAAATTATTCTGTAATAATAAATGTATTGAAAATACATTAAATTTGTAAGAACCTAGAAAATAGAGTATTAGAGTAGATAGGAGTATTAAAATATTCAGACCGAGTATTTTATTATAATATAATCCTATAATATAAACAGAATTTCTAAAGCTCGGTTCATTATCTAAAATACTTTTATCTCTCTAAAACATTATTCTCTTCTCTTTCTCTCACTTCTATCTAACTTTTCTCACTCCTCAATCATTTGTTCAACGATCAGAAAGTGTTTAGGTAATCCTTGCGTCGAGGCTACCAATTGGACCAATCAATTCGTTGAATCGAGCGAGTAAGTGATAAACCCTTTTTTTTAGCCTTTAGAGTTCTTGATCTTGCGAAAGAGTTTTGTTTGCATGGATCAAGAGTTCCTTTTCTTCAATTCTTGACTCAATTTAGGTTCTAAGGGTTGTTTCCTATCACCAATCGATGATTTATAGGTATTTCTAGAGTTTTCCTTGCGGTGTAAGCATCGGTCGGGGTTTCTTTTAGAGCTGTGCAGAATTTCACTTAGGTAAGGGAAGCTAGAATTTGCTTTAATTAGTAATTTCTTGTGCATGTTTGTTAGTGTATGACTCTTGAATTAGTTGAGCTGAATTCATGATTCTAGGGTAGACGGAAAATGTGCAATTTGATTGTTTTGAGTATGAAATTATGAACTGTGATGATAAACTGTGTGGAATGATGTTTTGGTTGTAATTGAATGCATGAAATGTGTGAAATTTGTGATAAGATTGAGTGTTTAAGAGCATAGGTAAATTGTCCTGTTTTAATGTTAATTTTGAGGAAGTGGAATAATGAAAATGTGAATTTGGGATTTGTTGCTCAATTGGACTGTTACGAGAGCTTTAATAAGTCAAATGAGACTTGTTTGAGTCCCTAAATTGCTCAAAATAGTAATAAAAGTGGTAGAATGCAAATTGGGTTCATAACTTGAAGTTTTGTAGATTTTGGAGTGGAATGTAGTCAGGAAACACTTTAGCTTGATGTTAGTAAGGTTTAGAAACACTTATTCAAGTCTAATTAAGTCCATAACACAATCTAGGTGGGCTAGAAGTTGGAAAAAATAGTTGGAATTGGTAAACTTGGTGTAGGTTGCGTAATTCTATAGATTTGGTGCTGCAGATTATGAAGACTCGCTGAGCAAGTGCAGTCGCTCAACGAGTGGTAGTGGAGTCTGGCTCACTGTTTGATGATTCGCACAGCGAGAAGGTGCGTTGAGTGACGGTTGAGGTGTGGGAGCACTGTGAGTTTTATTCGAATAGTGAACGAGTGCGCTCAACTAGTGTTTGAGGGGTCCAGACCACTGTGTGAACTTTCGCATAGCGAGTTGGGACGCTAAGTGAGAGGTTGGGGTTTGGTATCACTGGTAGTTTAATTCGATCAACGAGCTAGGTCACTAAGCAAGTAGTTTGGAGTGTGGATGTACTGTTTGTGTATTCACATAGTGAGTTGGGTCACTATGCGAGAGAAGCTGGGGTCGCTTAGCGCGTGGGTTCGCTGAGTGACTGGTCCAGGTTATAGTTTTTGTTTTTCTTTCTTTGTTCCCTAATTTGGTTTGTGTTATGTCTTGATTCAATTATGAATGTGTACGAGTTATATGAGTATCGAAGTTATGAGTTGTGATTCAAAGTATCGTTTCTAAGTGGTGAAAGTAAGTTTCAAAGTGGAATCTCTCGGTGAGATTCAAGTATGTTTAGAATTATTGTAGGGAGCTCAGTCTTGGGGCTTATCCTGAACTTCAATGGTCTTTCATTCTCACATAGAAAGGATTGACACATGTGGTGAGGAGTAGCAGTAGGTCTTAGTCTTGGGGGCTTCCAGTATGCCTCAAGGCCCGGAACAGACTAACCTTGTGAGTGTGGTAGGGTGAAACCCATTGGCAATGGCTTTGCAAAGCACTAGAGGCCACCACAACTACATAACCCGCCATAGCTCGGCAATCATTTTAAGTCCGGACAATCAAGTCTAATTCATAATATGTTTAGGATGTTTGAAGTTGGTTATTTCATATGCATGAATTGAGTATGGTGTCTGTTATATTAGTGTATGAATATTTTTATATCTAGCTTACCCTTCTGTTTGTGCTTGTTTTTGTATGTGGGTGTGTTCTTTAATTTGCAATGATCATCCGATGGGTGTGAGCAGAGGGAGATGAGCTATCAGTGGAGCAAGCTCTGGGTGATGAAGATGTTGCAGTGTAGTTAGCTTTAGATTAATATTGGTGCATAGTTTTGGTTTATCCAGTATGCGTATAAAGTTTGACATTTATAATTGTTTTTGGATGACTATAAGTTCCACTTTATATTCCAGTTTACAATTGTTCTATAGTATCATATCTGTGATGACTCTTTGATATAGTTTTATGCTATATTTTTGGGATGTTACATTAATGGTATCAAAACAATTCTTTTCTTAGGAATTTTGTAGGTTAGGGGTGTACTATGCTTGTGCTTGTGTGCTCATAGTATGTCTAGTGGTTATCCTTATTTCTTTGAGTTGGACTGATGATTTTTCTCTTTGTGTAAGTAGAAGATAACACTTATGCCTCATCCTCCCTCACCCACTAATCCTAATGCACCAAAAATGATGAGAATGCACCTATATATTTTCTCTCTTTGAAAATGTATATTTGATTAATAATATCATTCAAACTTTATATTATATTTTGAATTGATACGAAAATTTTAAATATAAGAAAGTAATATTTCCATATAAAAACTAAAATAATAATTTATTATATATTATAGAATTGAAATATATAATTATTGTTACGATAAAAATCAATTTAGAAACATCAAAATACATAAAATTATAAAATTTTTGTTTAGAGATGATTTTTTATATAATAAGATAAATAATTTATATTATTAATATTATATATATATATATATATATATATATATATATATATATNTATATATATATATATATATATATATATATGAAGTTTGCTAACTTATATAACTTTTTAAAACGTATTAAATTTTAGTTAAAATTATTCATAAAGAAAAGACATAATTTAAATACATGAATATTTTAATAATTTTTATTTTTAATTTAAAATAAAAAAATTCAAAAATATCTTTAATATTAAACCTTAAAATTTATTTTTCTAAAATTTGTAATTTTTTATTTTTTATTATAAAAATAATGTGAAATGAGTGTAAACCTTGACCGGTTGGCTAACATAGGACTTGTGAACATGGAAAACAAAAAAAAAGTAAGAAAGAAAAGACTAATAAAAATTAAATGAGAATGCTAAACTACATTTATAATCACAAAGATTAAAATATATGAAAACATATTATACAAAGAAATACCAATGTGGACTGTGTTTATGTTATAGGCTTATGTAATTATTTGTAAGATATTATTAGAATAATTTTGTAATAATTAATGCAATTATTAATAATATTTTTAAAAATTATAAGTATTATGTTTTTGTTAAAAGAATATAGGGAGGGGACACAGTAACTAACAAAAAGAAAAAGACACAAAGATGAAGCAGGTTTTGATGAATGAATTCAAAGTTGAGATTCGATCTTCAAGGGTTTTGATGAGCATACAGAACCATTCAGCACGAGACAGAGGCGAAGAAAGTGAGAAAGAGTTGTTGCTAAGGCAAAAGCTCCGAGAGTTGAGTGTAGCCACTCACATAGACAAACCAACAATGAGTTAGTTGAGATTTTCACGACGAATAAAAAACAAAAGGAACACGTCAATTTTTACATCTGTTTTATTTTTAGCATGCATGGTTAGTTTCAAGTGCCACAAACTACCCTAACTCCACCACTATAAAACGAATCCCACTTACACTGTCAATAACACAACCACACAGCTGTTCACTACAAAGGAATATACATTGTTTATTTTCAGACCAAACATAACTCAGATGGCTCTCAATACCTCTTGCTCTAAGCCCATTCTAGGAATCCATCTTCCTAACTCTGTTCCTAATGTTTCCAACACACCCAATTTTTTCTTCACCACCAATGACAACAAAGCCTGCAACTTTGGCTTCCCAAGACTTGTTCAAAACAAGGGTCTTCTCCCACTTCATGCAGTGCCATCCAAAACCATGGTCCTTTCTCTTTCATATACTTTTGCTTTCCTTCCTTTGTTTTAATTGTTTGATGATGGATATTGGTTTTGGCCTTGCATGTGTTTGTAAAAACTCTTCATCGGATCAAACTTACAACTTCTTTCTCTTATTTGGAGATATTTGTAACGAAATCCAACTTTTATGAATTAAAAAAGAAAAGAAACTGATCTCATTGTTAAATAATGAAACTAGAGGTGGTTTATGAAATTTAATCTTGGTTTGCATGACATGATGCAGGTGGATTTGGACAATTTGGTGGTCCAAAATCCAGAAGAACAACCGAGTGAGTTATAACTCTTAGCAAAACATCATGTAGTATCTTTCTATGAATATATATATATTCTGTCTAAAAAAATGTCAATTTCTGTGATGCAGAGGAAGAAGGAAAGATTATCAATGTCAAATTTCAGATGCATCGCAACTGCAAATTTGGGGAGCAATTTCTAGTAGTTGGTAGTGAACCAATGTTTGGCTCATGGAACCCTGCAAAAGCCATACCAATGGCCTGGTCAGAAGGGCATGTTTGGACAGCAGAGATGGTGAGTCTTATTGTTAAAATTGTTATAATATTTTCAAAATATGGAAACTGTTGTGTGCTGAGTATTATTTCCTTGTCGCATTTCATGCAATCAGGCCGTACCTGCTGGAAAATTCCAGTACAAAATCATCTTGAAGAGAAGAAATGGTGACATTGTGTGGCAGCCAGGGCCAGATAGACTTGTTCAGACATGGGAAGCAATGAACAGAGTCACTGTTTGTGAGGATTGGGAAAATTCCAAACTTCAGACAGTAACAGATGACGATGAGAAAGTTTCCAAGACATCAGTGGAAGAGGAACATGGTCAGACAGACAAGGATTCCAAGATGGAGTCAGAAATTGCCAATTTGGCTGAGAATGCCAATTGCTGAATTTTGTTTCCTTCCACAAACAAAAGTTTTATGATTTTGCTGCTACAAAGAAAGCCCAAGTTAGTTTTGAGCTACTTATTTCCATTCGGCTCATAGTATTACTATTTTCTTGTTAGAGAAAATAAGAGTCTCTTTTCTGTTTTGTTGTCGCATATCTTCATCAATGAAATTTATTATTTATTTTCACTTATATCCTTCCCTCATATTTTGTCCTTCACTATATTTAAAGAGTGCTACATTAAATTTGACCATAATATTCTCATATATATAAAAAAAACATGTAGGGAATTTATATAAAAAAAATTAAAGTTACAAGTATATTCGATAATAATTTCTTATAATCCCGTGAAAATATCATATTTTTCCACTCTTCCTGGTAAGAATGGAACTGTAGTAAAACATTATTGAATACAAGATGTGAAATAATTGTCGATCATATAATTCTTAAATTAAATCAAACCAATTTCTCAGAATTCAATCACAACGCAAAATGTAATCATTGGACATGACATGATAAAGGGAGTGTATTAAAGAAAATATCTCTCATGATTCATGAAGCACCTGTGAGGTCTCATTATTAATCATCATCCTATTTTTTATTTAATGCGTAATTATCAACTCATTGAATTCATATTCATTGATTTCAAATATAAAATTTACTAAAAAAATTTAATATGGTCACCGTTGATATTTTAAAAGAAAATGAAATTAAGTTTGCAATTTAAAATTTATCTTTAACTTGGACTTCTACAACATGAATGGTTTTAACAATTTTATTGAGCAAATTAATACTAAAAAAACTTTTATAAGATATCCATCTCATTGTTTTTTTCATTTAAGGGTTAGTAAGGAGCTCGTGCAGTTTCATCCGTTCTCTGAGAATTTCTTTCAAATCTTACTTGAGAAATAACCATGTCCCATTTGAAAAATAGTCTATGTTATCATAAAAAATAGTGTATACTTTTAGAAGAAACGAATTATTTGTCTATAAGACATCATAAGATATTCCGAATCTGATGACAAATAAAATTTTGATCTTAAAAATTAAAGACAATCATTTAATATTCTGACGTTATTTGACTTGGATTGGAACATTGTCTAATGATGAATAAAGGAAGTAAAAACCCTAAAAACTTCGATGATGTATTTTGGACAGTCACATGAAATAAAAATCTGAAGTGCTATCAAAACGTGTAAAAGTACAGTATACAATCCACCGAGCAAGTTATTGCAGACACACATAAAACAGTCATCAACATTTAATATACACAAAAGAATAAAAGTTATAGATTTATAAAATATTATGTGATAAAAATAATATTTAATAGGTGTATATAAAATATATATATTTATAATTATTAAAATAAACAAAATAATTTTTGTGTCCTAAAATTATTTTTTTAAAAAAGATTTACTTATATATGGATATCTTAAGAAGCTACAGTAATTCTAGACTTGATTGCTCAGTAGATTTTGATGCACTTGGACTGGATTATCAATATCCAATTTCAGCAAAACAACTTTCTAATTTAATTTGCTTAACAAATTATGTTTTGCTCAATGATTTGACTCTGTTTTTAAATGATTTATTTAGTTTAATGGTATAATTTAAAACGATAGAAGATATTTATAAGTGTTATGGTGCTTTCTCTTTTCGTCTCTTTCAATTGATACATGATGATATGTTGGAATTGGATTAATTAACAAATATCAAGATAGACTAATATTATAACATGTAAAAATATTGGAAAAAATTGAAACTTAGACGGTTTAAAACACCAAATTTAAAAGAAAAGAAAAAAGAAAAAACTCATTTCCCTCTTTTTTTTTTCTAACCGTCTTTGCATCTTACACAATATTAAATCCTTCAAAAATTCATTCAAATATTAGTATATCTACAATCAAAATATTAAAATTACTTTATATCTTAAATAAATCATATATATATATATATATACACAATTTTTTAATCAAGAAATGATAACTAAAATATTTAAAACAGAATTAATTGGAAGATGAATTTTAGTCTATCCAAAATTTTAAAATAAATTAAAATCTTGAACCAATCAAATTCACATGTTTAAATTGGGTCAAATTCACATGGGTTAAGTTAAAAAAATTTACAAATTTTAGCACAGAACAAAAATGAATCCAATCCACTAAAAATCTGATTTATCATATTAAATCCATGATGAATGGCGGAATAACCTATACATAAAATAAAAAACATTCACATAACTCTTAATCCAACTGAAAACACAAACCAACTAATCTTTTAATTTTGGAGAAAATTGAGCCATGTTAATGACATTCTATTCACTTTCTACTTTTAATATTTAGAATGAATGATTTATTTATTTACTAACGTAAAAACTTAGAAAATGATATTTTAAAAGTGACAATGGTTTTGAAATAGTGAGATTTTATTATTTTATATTAAAAGATTTTTATGAATAAGTTTCATTATTTTAAAGCACACAATCTCTCTATAAATTACTTTTCTGGAATTTTCTTTAATATTTCTTTCTCTCTGCTCGTCTAATTGAATAACCGAGACCGTATGATTGATCATTGCGGCTAACTCTTCAATTTAGACTGATCATTGCGGCTAACTCTCTCCCGTGTGTCGAACGTTTGTCCTTCCTTTTGCCCCGCGCGAGGGGTGACCTACAGAATACACTCTGACGCTTAAGTCAGAATCTTTCTCTGTAGGTCTTTAGTAATTTAAAAATGAGTAAAAGGTGAGTTTACCTCGAAATTAAAACATTATTTATTGAGTTTAAAGGAATCTGACCAATTAATTTACTTCTAAATGGTCATTTAATACCTGTCTTAACCAGCCATTAGTAGTCGTTAGCGTATTGATTGCACTTTAACTGCGCATAACTATTGTTTGGACTAAGCGGCTTAGAGACTTCTTCCTGCACGCTAACCGTTCGATCCTTTCAAACCAGCATATCATCGTAATCGATCGATCGGCCATAAGTCCATAGTAACATAGGTCCCCCAAGAACTAGAAAAATCTTAGATATTACGTAAGGCTTGCCAAGTTCCCCCGATCGGTAAGAGAATTTACTTAAGTTTCCAAGGGTCATGATGATTCACACATTGACATGTCCCTTTAGGCTCTACAAAAAGGCGGAAAATCGTTTGTCCGTTCGGTCCATTGGCCTAACAAGTACCCATACAATATACAAGTCTCCCAAGTCCAAGCACACTCTTTATTGCAAGTAGTGTGTAGGGGTTATTGTTGGTTTAAGAAAAGTCGTGTACGTGGTCTTAGGGAGTCCGCACTTCCCTAAGTCGAATAGACTCAGGTGAGAGTTACGAAAATGTTCCTCACCGAGCGGTAAACTCTCGGCGTTCACTTGGAACGTTTCCTAAGTCGAAAATGCTAAGGTGAGAGTTATGAAAGCGTTCCTCAACGAGCACCAAACGGTCAACACTAGGAGTTCGTTTAGAACGTTTCCTAAGTCGAAAATGCTAAGGTGAGAGCTACGGAAGCGTTCTTCACCGAGCACCAAACGGTCGACACTAGGAGTTCGTTTGGAATGTTCCCTAGGTCGAAAATGCTCATGTGACACCTATGGAAGCGTTCCTCACCGATCACCAAACGGTCGACACTAGGAGTTTACTTGGAACGTTTCCTAAGTCAAAATAGCTAAGGTGAGAGCTACGGAAGTGTTCCTCACCGAGCACCGAACGGTCGAAACTAAGAGTCCATTTGGAACGTTCCTTAGGTCAAAAATTCTAAGGTAAGAGCTATGGAAGCGTTCCTCACTGATCACCGAACGATCGACCCTAGGAGTTCGTTTGGAATGTTCCATAGGTCGAAAATGCTAAGCTGAGAGCTACAGAAGCGTTCCTCACCGAGCACCGAACGATCGACACTAGGAGTTCGCTTGGAACGTTCCCTAAGTCGAAAATGCTAAGGTGAGAGTTGTGGAAGTGTTCCTAACCGAGCACCGAACGGTCGACACAAGGAGTTCATTTGGAACGTTCCCTAGGTTGAAAATGCTAAGGTGAGAGCTTTGGAAGCGTTCCTCACCGAGCACCGAACGGTCGACACTAGGAGTTTGTTTGGAATGTTCCCTAAGTTGAAAATGCTAAGGTGAGAGCTACGAAAGCGTTCCTCACCGATCATCGAATGTCAACCCTAGGAATTCCTTTGGAACGTTCCCTATGTCGAAAATGCTAAGGTGATAGCTCAACCTAGGAGTTCACTTGGAACGTTTCCTAGGTCAAAAATGCTAAGGTGAAAGCTACGGAAGCGTTCCTCATCGAGAATCGAACAATCGACACTAGGAGTTTACTTGGAACGTTCCCTAAGTCGAAAATGCTAAGGTGATAGTTACAAAGGTGTTCCTCACCGAGCACCAAACGGTTGACACTAGGAGTTCGTTTTGAACATTCCCTAGGTCGAAAATGTTAAGGTGAGAGCTACGGAAGCGTTCCTCACCGAGCACCGAACGGTCGACACTAGGACTTCGTTTGGAACGTTCCCTAGGTCAAAATTGCTAAGGTGAGAGCTACGGAAGCATTCATCACCGAGTACCGAATGGTCGACACTACGAGTTCGTTTGGAAAGTTCCCTAGGTCGAAAAGGCTAAGGTGAGACCTACAGAAGTGTTCCTCACTGATCACTGAACGGTCGACACTAGGAGTTCGTTTGGAACGTTCCCTAGGTCAAAAATGCTAAGGTGAGAGCTACGGAAGCTTTCCTCACCGACCACCGAACGCTTGACACTAGGAGTTCGTTTGAAACGTTCCCTAGGTCGAAAATGCTAAGGTGAGAGCTACGAAAGTGTTCCTCACCGAGCATCGAATCGTTGACACTAAGAGTTCGTTTGGAATGTTCCCTAGGTCGAAAGTGCTAAGATAAGAGCTATGGAAGTGTTCCTCACCAAGCACCGAACGGTCAAAACCATTTCAAATAACTTGCTCAAAATTGTGATGAAAATCCTTTAATATTATTTACAGCAGTATTGCGAATACATCATAATTTTTTAACTAAAACATGTTAAGTGGAAGACTCATATATGTTCTTGTCACGACTATGTCGTTGGTCTGGCATAGATGGTGCTTGCCCACCTTCTGTTCCTGGCAGGGTGAAGCATTCTCTTCATGCTGCCTCTTTTGGACA